CTGCCCGGCCAGCGCCGTGAGGGGCCGTGAGGGGCGGCCGGGCCCGGGCTGAGCCTCCCCGCGGCCGGCGCGGCGCTGGGGCAGCTCCACTCCCTCCCGAGCGGCTCTCGGTGAGTGCGGTGGTTCCTCCCGCAACCCCGCGGGGATCCCGGGGGGCTCTGAGCGGCTCCTGCGCGCGCTCCCTGTTGGATTTGGGATTTTCCCCCTGGAATTGTCGGGATGATCCCTGTGGGTCACTTCCAGGGCAGGATACTCTGATTTTACGGCTCCCTGACGGGTCCGCCCCGCCGCTGCTTCCTGGGTGTTTCCAGCTCCGCTTTCTCTTGGATCTGTGTTTCCCTCAGTCAGCCTTCTCCAAAAAGCCTTAATTTTTTTCCAAAGAGCATTTTTGTTGGTATCTCTGGAATACTCCTGGGGCTTTTCCTGCATTTTCAAGGATGTTTCTTTCCCAAGTCCTCTGCAGACTGAAAGCTAAGGCATTAATTCCATATATTTTTTTTGTTTAACAGGCTTTTTTAATGTCTGGCATCAAAAACTCTTCTATTTTTGTGTAGGTTCCTCTGACTTTATTCTTGTGTGTAGTTTTTTTTTACTCATATATATATGCAAATATATATGTACTTATATATGTACGTAATTAAATTATTAATATTGTGCATAGGTTATTTTTAATTTTAGACGTTTATTAATGACCTCTTGCTTCAGAGTTTAATTTGGTTTTTCTCCTTTTTTCCCTTTTAGATCATTTAACCCACAGCGATTTCAGCAGTGGAGAAATAATAATAAAAGAGGAAAAATAACTTAAAAACGGAAAAAAAAAAAGATGTCGAGGCAAGCTTTCCTGTGCAGTTTGGGGTCTCTTTATTTCTCCCTGCTCTTCATCTTCCTCTCGATGGATGTTTATGCCAGGCCTGCGAATAATTCCGTGCTGAAGGAAAAAGCAGCTGAGGGCAAAGAGGAGAACGAGATCCTGCCCCCGGATCACCTGAACGGCGTCAAGATGGAGATGGACGGACACCTGAACAAGGAATTCCATCAGGAGGTTTTCCTGGGAAAAGATATGGAGGAATTCGAGGAGGATTCAGAGCCCAGGAGGAACAGGAAGAAGCTAATGGTGATTTTTTCCAAGTGAGTCGCTGGCAGTGCGGAGGGAAACGGGGCCAAAAAACCCCCAAAACTGGGAATTTAAAAAAATATTTTAAAATATTAAAAAGTATTAAATTTATTGAAATTATAAAATTTATTAAAATTGTTTAAAATTATATTATATTATATTATATTATATTATATTATATTATATTATATTATATTTTAATTTATTAAAATTACCAAATAATTCATTAGAATTATTAAATCATTAAAAGTTTAAATCACTATTCATGTTTTTAAAATGTGGGGATTTTAATTACGATTTAACAATTGGGAATTTTAAGATTTCCAAATGGGAAGATTTAATTAATATGTTCAAAATTAGGGATTTTAATTAGGATTTAATAATTGGGAATTTTAATATTTCAAAATGGGAAATTTTAAGGAATATTTTCAAAATTGAGGATTTTAAATGAATATTTTCAAAGTTTGGGGACTTTAATTAGTATTTCATAATTGGACATTTTAATGAATATTTTCAAAATTGGGAATTATCATTAATCTTTCCAAATTTGAAAGGGAAAGGTCTCACCCTGGAAATGCTGTGTTTGTGTTTGGTGCCAAAATATTCAGTTTCTATGTTGGAAAAACAACTTTAAAAGAGTGAAAATTCCTATTTCTTTCTCCTGGTTAATCAAGAATTCATCCCCCTTGGATTGTACATCCAGGAATTGGGGAGGAAGGATTCCCTTACGCTCCAGTTTTGTGCTAAGTTTGGTTTCAGACTTCAAAATTTGGCAATTTTAATTCTTTATTTAAAATTTTTGGCCTTTTTTTTTCACCTGGACCTTGGGTCTTTTCCTGTTGGGACTTGTACAAATAAAAGGAAAACGCTGGGAAGACAATCCACAGAAAAGGGTCAGGGAAAATTACAAGAAATGAAAAAAAATTGGGATTTGTGCTCACAAAACTTCCAGTGGATGCTTCAGTGGCTAAAACGACAGTGTTTAAAATGAATAATAAATAAAATAAAAAATATTAAATCAATTAAAAAAATAAAAAACCGAGGATAATTGCACATTCCAGGAAAGAACAGAACAATTCCTCAGAATTTAGAACAAGAAAAGAAAATAAAACATGGAAATAGAAAGAGAAAATTTCCCTTTTATGGCTTTTTAAAAAACTTTAAATTTTAAATTAATTCCTTTACTTGGTGTAAAAATCTGAAGTTGTATTTGAAGCCAATCAAGCATTTTCCTTTAATAAAAATCTCCTATTTTTGGCTCTGTTTCAGCACTTTCAGACACCAGGGGGCAGAGTTGGCTTTATTTGCATTTTTAAAATTAAAACATCTCCAGTTAATACCACAAGGGGGATATAATTACTAAATTAATAACAAATGAATAACAAAATAATAAAGCGATTTAATTTAAAACATCCACAAAAACGTTGGAAATTCAGGGGTTTTGAAATTCTCCTCAGGAATAGAATTCCAGCCAAACCAGGATTTTTTAAAAATAAAGTTTAAAGGAAATTATTTATTATTTTTTTGTTATTCAAGCCCCTTACTTCAATGTTAAAATATTAAATAATTAAGATTTCTTTATTCCTGGATGTTAATTGGGAACATCCAAGTCCTGGTTAGGAAATTCCCATTCCCAAATTCGGATTTTTTTTCCTTGTTTATTTTAAAAGAAAACTTCAATTAATTGGATTTGGGATCAGTTCCATTCTGAGATTTATTTCAAATTCCCTCAGAGGATCAGATTAAGAATGTAGGGAAGGGTTTTGGGGGATTTGATGGATTTCTAGAGAGAAATCCCAGGAAAACCCAGTAAATCCCAGACTTCCAGATGCTCTGGAATTATTTTCTTGCAAGACAAACACAGAATGTGTTTTTAATCAATGAAAAAGCTCCATAAAAATCACAAATAAATTCAAGACATGAATTATTATTTAAGAGAATTCCTGAAAATACTTCCCCGAGCCGTGATTTTCACAGAAAAACTGGGATTGAAATAATTCCTATTTTGCTGAAATCTTGATTTGGTTGAAACAGAATCCAGCCCTGAAATGATTCACATGAAAAACTGGAATTTTTGCGGGTGGGAACGTTAGGATTTAAGAACCCTGCGTTCATTGAAAAAAGGAAGAAATCCCCAGAAATCAGATTTTCTTGTGGTTTTAGTAGAGAAACTGGGCTAAAATTATTATCCATCCATTATTATCCATCAGAAGAATTCCGTTTTCCTACAAAATTCACGCTTTTCCTGATTCCATGCTCCCACTTTGTGCTTCAATGCTTTAAATCAGCAATAAATTGGATTTTCTTCCTTTTTTCCCCTAATTACGCTGCAATTTAGGTGGAAAAGGATTGGAAGGAGGAATTTTCACAGCTGTGATTCGAGGAAAACCCCAAATTGGAAATATTGAGGGGGAAAATGCTGTTTTAAATCTGATTTTTATCCCAAACTTGGTCCCCTCCAACCCCTGAGCGTCTCCCTGGTGTAAATTGTTATATTTCATCTCCTTAAATCTGCATTTTTAGGGTTGTTTGTCGCTTTTTTCACATTTAGTTGACATTTCAAGGCAAATCACATCTTGAATAATTAGAGTTTCAATAATAACAGCTCTGTGATTCCAAGAGATAACAAAGGCCAGACTCAACCTGGGGCTTTTTAATTCTGTTTTTTCTTTGAGTTTTGGTTTTTTAATTGAACAAAGTGTGGGTTGGAGATGCTTTAAATAGAATTTGAAATGGTAACAAGATAAAATCTGATTTTTTAGTGGTATTTTGAATTACAGAGAGTGGGTTTGAGAGGTTTTAAAGAGAGTTTGACATGATAACGTCACGAAATCTGATTTTTAGTGATATTTTTGAATATGTAATGTTCTGCTCAAAAAAACCTCTCAAAGTGGCAGAAAATTTGATTTCTTTTTGGTTTTGAATCATAATTTTCTAATTCAGTTCTTAATGAAATAACAATTGATGGAATGGCAAGAGAGAGGATTGATCAGGTTGGATTTTCCTGGTAATTTTAGTCAAGAAAAATTGAATTCTGCAGCTCTGAATCCAAGAAATTCATTGGGAAAGCAAAAGCCAGACAGAAAACTCATGGAGAACAAATGGATGTGCAAGTTTTAAACGAGTTAAAAATTAAAAATTCAATTAAATTAAAAAGAAAAAAAAGGGCTTGGAAAGAGAAATTAAGTGGGAATTCAAGTTCTGGAAGAAATTTTTCTAAGCTGTGATAATCCTGAATTTGGAGTGAGCCAAAATTCCATCAGGGATGATTTGTGGGAAAAATTTCCTCAGAAATATTATTTAATTCCAGAAAAAAAAAAAAGTTTTTCACTGAGGAATAACTTAAATATTGCTAAATTTAATGAAATTAATAACATTATTTACATTTAATTTTGAAATAAAAGCTGAGCTGCCACTTGTTTTCTCGCAGAGAGCCAAAAATTAATTAAAAAAATTAAATTATTTAATTAATTGATTTTTCTGTCAGTTTTTACCAAATAAAACGATTTATAAATGAAAACAAAACCAGATCTTTTCCTCTTAAGCTCTAAATTTCAATCCTGTTTGTTTTACCTCACTAGGGTGGATATAAATAATGATAAAAAAATCAGTGCCAAGGAAATGCAGCGTTGGATCATGGAAAAAACAGATGAGCATTTCCAGGAGGCCGTGGAGGAGAACAAAATGCATTTCCGAGCTGTGGACCCTGATGGAGATGGTAAAATTCACATTTTTTTCCTTTAAAAAATCACTTTATAAGTCAATTCTGGGATCCAGAACTTATTTCTGGGATCAAATTTAGGTTGGGAATGGCAGATTTGGATTTTTGTGGGAATCCATGTGCTGCAGGCAGGTCTTTGTTTCATAAAGAAGTGGTAAAAAAATGAAATAAATTGGATTTTTCACAAAACCTTTGTGGCTTAAAGATCCTCAAAAACAAATTGGGTCACAGCTTTTATGTTGTCATTCCTAAAATTCCATGTGGGGTTGGGATGCTGGACTAAAAAATGTTAAAAATTTACTTATTTTGAGATAATGAAATCAAAAATTCATCGTTTCAAGCTGAAATTTTCTCAATGACAGGTCATGTGTCCTGGGATGAATATAAAATTAAATTCTTGGCAAGCAAAGGCTTCAATGAAAAGGAAATTGCAGAGAAAATCAAAAACAACGAGGAATTGAAAATAGATGAAGAAAGTAAGTGCAGAATGGGGTTTGTGTTCCTGAAAGCTGGGTGGGAAAAACAAAAAGGTAGGGAAATGTTTGGTTCTTGTGCTCAGGGAGGATTTCAATAAGAAAAGACAAATTTTTCATTTTTTTCCAGCTAAAATTTGGTGCAAAAATGACAATTTTTGTAAGACAAGAAAAATTTTGCATTTTTTCCAGCTAAAATTTGGTGTGAAGATGAGGATTTTTAAGAGGAATCTTCCTGTTTTCCTCCTTAAATAAATTTAAATTTACTGTTGAATCAAATAAAAATGGGAGGGAAATGTTTGGGTTGTTCTGCTTGAGGAGCATTTAAATAATAAAACAAAAATTCTGTGGTTTTTTCCATCTGTGAAATGAGAATTTTTAGGAGGAATCTCCCTGTTCCCTCGAAAAAAGTTTCAATTTACTGTTAAAGCAAACATTTGGGTCAGAAAAAAGAAATTCTGCTTTTTTTCTGTCTAAAATGTGTTGTGAAAATGACATTTTTTTAAAAGGAATCTTCCTGGTTTTCCATTAAATAAGTATTTAAATTTATTCTAAAATGAGCCCTAAAACTGAAGTCAGAAGACACAAATCCTCCATTCATCCTAACCCAAACCTGCTGTGAAAATTGCAATTTTTAAGGGGAATCTCCTTCAAGAAATATTTAAATATTAATATAATAGTTGTTATTTAATTGATTTAATCTATTTCTTTAATGTATTGAACTTAAGTAACATTTATTATTTAACTAATTTAATATTTATTTAACTAAACATATGATTTATTTAATTAATATATAAATAATAAGATTGAAGTCAAAAGGCAGAAATCCTCCATTCATCCTAACCCAAATCTGCCATAAAAATTACAATTTTTAAGGGGAATCTCGTTCAAGAAATATTTAAATATTAATATAATAGTTATTATTAAATATATTTCTTTAATGTACTGAACTTACGTGGCATTTATTATTTAATTAATCTAATATTTATTTAACTATGCATATTATTTATTTAATTAATATATAAATCATAAGATTGAAGTCAAAAGGCAGAAATCCTTCATTCATCCTAAATCTGCCATAAAAATTGCAATTTTTTCAAGGGCAATCTCCTTCAAGAAATATTAAAATATTAAAATATTAATACAATAGTTAATAAATTTCTTTAATGTATTTAACTTAAGTAGTATTATTTAATTAATATATATTTAACTAATCATACGTTTTATTTAATTTCATTAATATATAAATAATAAGATTGAAGTCAGAAGGCAAAAATCCTAACCAGAATCTGCCATGAAAATTGCAATTTTTAAGAGCAATTTTCCTGTTTTGCCCCTTTAAAAAACCCATTTAAATTTCCTGTAAATCCCCCCTGAGCCTTTCCCTTTCCCTGCAGGAATGAGTCATTTCAGAATCCATTGGGTGACATTTTCCAGTGATTAAAAAACTGAAATGCAAAACAAAGGAGCTGAGAAGGTGCAGGGAAATCACCTGGGGGTGACTTCAGAAAGCTCTGAGTGCTGAGTCAGGGCCTCCATTCTGCACCTGGCCACCAAAAGTTTCTCTGGGAAAATCAAATTATTCATCTTCCACTTCCTCAGGGGTTTTTCCTCCTCCTCCAAACACCATAAAATTGATTTTTGGTGTTATTTTTTTTAAATAAAAAGCACCTGGGGGTGTGTCGTTTAAGGCATTTTCTGCAGAAATGTGGATTCCAGAAATTATTTTAAAAATATATATATAAAATAATAATAAAAGTAATAACAATACTAACAATAATAACAATAATAATAATAATAATAAATAGTGATTAATAATCAAATAATCGATAATCAAATACAATATAATCAAAATATGTAAATATAATAGTTAAATGTAGTAACTAAATAGAAGAAATATAACATAACATAACATAACGCTTATTTTAATTAATTGATGGATATTGGCAAATAATTGGATTGTGGGATGAAATGAAAGAATTCCATGGAATTTTGGTGCTGATTTTTCTGTTCATGCACCCCCAGTTTAACTTTCCTTGCAGCAAAATATATTGAACATTGTGATAAATAAATACCTGCAGGGTTTAAGCTTAAAAAACATCAGAGAGCTTGAAATAAATGGGTTGTGACCAATTAAATCCTAAAAATGGATCAGGACAACCTAAAGAGTGATTGGGACAAATTTTAAACATTGTTGGGACAACTGAAATATTAAAAATTGGATTGGGACAATTTAAATCCAAAAAATGGATTGTGATAATTGGAGTTCTAAAAGTCATTTGGGACAAATCTTAAAAATGGGTTGGGAAAATTTAAATTCTAAAAATGGATTGGGACAATGGAAATCCTTTAAAAATGGATTGAGACAACTGAAATATTAAAAATTGGATTGGGACAATTTAAATCCTAAAAATGGATTGGGTCAACTGAAATCCTAAAGAGGGATTTGGGACAATTTAAATCCTAAAATTGAATTGTGACAACTGAAATCCTAGAGTGATTGGGACAAATCTTAAAAATTGATTGGGACAATGGAAATCCTTTAAAAATGGATTAGGACAATTTAAATCCTAAAGAGGGATTGGGAAAACTCTTAAAAATTGATTGGGACAACTGAAATCTTAAAAATTGGATTGGGACAATTGAAATAACAGAAATGGATTGGGACAACTGAAATCCTAAAGAGGGTTTGGGACAACTGAAATCCTAAAGAAGGAGTTGGGACAATTTAAATCCTAAAAATGGATTGGGAAAATGGAAATCCTAGAGTGATTGGGACAAATTTGAAAAGTGGATTGGGACAATTTAAATCCTAAAAATGGATTGGGGAAAACTGAAATCCTAAAGAGTGATTGGGACAACTGAAATCCTTTAAAAATAGACTGGGACAACTGAAATCGTAAAGATGGATTTGGGACAATTCAAATCCCAAAATTTAATTTTGACAACTGAAATCCTAAAGAGTGATTGGGACAAATCTTAAAAATGGATTGGGACAATTTAAATCCTAAAAATGGATTGGGAAAATGGAAATCCTACATGGGTTGGGCCAGGGGAAAGGACTCCTGGCAGGTGTTTGTGCCGCGTGGTGCGGCGAGTGCGGGTGGTCCCGCGGTGGGGCCGGAGCGCGATCCCAAGGTTCCGTGGGCATTGCAGCGCAGGAGGTGCTGGACAACCTGAAGGATCGCTGGTACCAGGCGGACAATCCCCCTCCGGACCTGCTGCTGAGCGAGCAGGAGTTCCTGTCCTTCCTGCACCCCGAGCACAGCCGCGGAATGCTGCACTTCATGGTGCAGGAGATCATCCGCGACCTGGGTAAGCCGGGATTCCCGGGAATTCTGTCCCTGTGTTCCCGATTTTATGTGGCTGCTGCACTTGATGGTGCAGGAGATCATTTGAGACCTGAGAATCCAGGATTTCCTGGGAATTCTATCCCTGTGTTCCTGGTTTTATGGGGATTTTGGGAGGGTTTTTGTGAAATAATCTGATTTTATGAGTGAAAACCGCGAGTTTTTGACATTTTTGTGGCATTTTTTCCAAAATTTTTGGAATTTTGTGGGGTTTTTTTATGCATTGCGGAATTCTTTTTCTGGGTTTTAAATTGGGAATTATTTCCATAAATTCCCATTTTTATGGGGATTTCGGGAGGGGGTTTTGTGAAATAATCTGATTTTACGAGTGAAGGTTTTGGCATAAATTTTGGAATTTTGTGGGGTTTTTGTGCATCGCAGAATTCCAGTTCTGGGTTCTAAATGGAATTTCTGGGTTTTAATTTGGGAATTGTATCCGTGTATTTCGGGTTTTATGTGGATAAAAAAACATCTGTCTTTTTATCCACAATTCATGGTGCAGGAGATACCCAGGATTTAGGTAATCCAGGATCTCCTGGGAATTATATCCATGGATTCCCCTTTTTATGTGGCTATTGGGAAGGTTTTGCTTTTTTCCCAGATCAGGAGGAAATTACCATTTTTGGGGGAATGAAAGCATTGTAATTTAATTTTTTGTGGGAATTACGCAAATCTATTTGAAATTATTGTGCTTTTTTTGTGGGAATTATGCAAATCTATTTTAATTTTTTCTGCTTTTTGTGGGAATTATGCAAATCTATTTTAATTTTTTCTGCTTTTTGTGGGAATTATGCAAATATATTTGAATTTTTGTGGGAATTACACAAATCTATTTGAATTTTTTCTGCTTTTTTATGAGAATTAAGCAAATCTATTTGATTTTTTTCTGCTTTTTTATGGTGCAGATCAGGAGGAAGTTCCAGTTTTTACTGGAATGAAATAGATTTTAATTTTTTCTCCTTTTTTTCGTGGGGAACGAAACAATTCTATTTTGATGTTTGTGGTGCCAATTCCCATTTGCAGGGGGATTGAAGGGATCTCTTTGCATTTGGGGGGTTTCTCCCAGATCAGGACGGGGATAAGAAGCTGACGCTGTCGGAGTTCATCTCCTTGCCCGTGGGCACCGTGGAGAACCAGCAGGCACAGGACATCGATGACGACTGGGTGAGGGACAGGAGGAAGGAATTCCAGGAGGTCATTGACGCCAACCACGATGGGATCGTCACCATGGAGGAGCTGGAGGTGAATTCCTCATCCTTGGAAATCCCATTCCTTCCAAATCCAGCTTTAAAAGCCCCAAAACTTGAGTTACAGCTTATTTTTTTAATAGGTGTTTCATTAAAAAATTGAATATTTTGATTTCATTTTAATTTTAATTTCACTTTCATTTCACTTTAATTTCACTTTCATTTCATTTTAATTTCATTTTAATTTCACTTTCATTTCATTTTAATTTCATTTTGAATTAAATAAGATTTGAATTACAGCTCAATTTTTTAACAGAAAAATGAAAAATAGGTTTTATTTTATAAAAAGAGAAAATATTTTAAAAAATATTTTTAAAATATTTAATATTTCAATTTGATTTAAACTTCAGTAAAAATTAGTTAAGTAGAATTTATTAATTCAGTAATTAAAATTCAGTTGAATTTTAATTTCATGGTAATTTCATGATCTTTTAACTTTAAATTAAATATATTAAAACCCAAAAATAGTTGAATTACAGCTCAATTTTTTAACAAAAAAATGAAAAAGTTTTTATTTTATAAAAAGAAAAATATTTTTTTAAAAAATAAAAAATATTTAATATTTCAATTTAATTTAAACTTTAAAAAAATTAAATATAATTTATTAATTCAATAATTAAAATTCAATTTAAATTTAATGTCATGGTAATTTCATATTTTCATTTTAAATCAAATATATTTAAACCCCAGAATAGTTGAATTACAATTCAATTTTTTATAAATATTTCATTGAAAAATGGAATATTTTGATTTCATGTTAATTTTAATTTCATATTAATTTGATTTTAAAATATTTTGTGGGAACAGCTGATAAAGCAGGAAAAACAATAGAATTTAGGTGCTGAAAATTGATAATTTTTCATTTTTAAGTGGAATTTGCTCCTGAGCTGAATTTGCAGCTCAAATTCCACAAATATTCCTTGGAATGAGTTGAGAAAAATTGGGATTTCTGTCACAACCACTTGAAAACTGGAAAAAAAAAGAGAATTTAGGCTCTGCAAATGATAATTGCTCATTTTTAACTGGAATTCACAGCTGAAAGTCCAGAAATATTCCTTGGAATGAGCTGAAAAAATTCCAGATTTCTGTGGGAACAGCGGGAGAACGGCTGTTAAAACACTTCCTCAAGCTCTTTCTCTCCGCTTAGGGATCCGAGGAGGGGATTTCTGGCAAACATGCGGGCCCGGGCTGAGGCCGTTTTTCCATGTTTTTTTCAGGAATACATGGATCCCATGAACGAGCACAACGCGCTGAATGAGGCGCGGCAGATGATCGCCGTGGCCGACGAGAACCAGAACCACCACCTGGAGCTGGAGGAGATCCTCAAGTACAGCGAGTATTTCACCGGCAGCAAACTCATGGATTACGCCCGGAACGTCCACGAGGAATTCTGAGCTTCCTCTCCCCTTTTCTGGAACTTTCCGTTTCCCAAAAAAACAACAAAAAAAATCCCAGGGAAAAAGGACTCGGCCGAGCCGCAAGAATTCTTTGTCGCAGTCGCCGCTCCTTGCTCAGAGTTGTCTCAAATTCCCGGTTTTCCGTCCATCCCTGGGATCTGCAGCTCCATGCCGGGAGAAATCGTGGAAATTCCTGGATTCTGGCAGTTTTCCTCCCTGGTTTGTGGGGTTGGATCCAGCTGGAATTCTGGCTGGTCCGGTTGGGGAGAATCCTGAAATATTCCCTTGTTGCCTTCAGCTGCTGATCCAGGGAATCCCAAATAAAGGTTGGATTTTGGGAAGGGAACGGCGATTCCAAGGAATGTTTGTCCTCCACACCCAATTCCATTTGGAAGGCTCCTTGAACAATCCCTTGTTTGCTTTTTCCAGCTGCTGAGCCAGGGAATCCCAAATCAAAGTTGGATTTGGGGAATTTTGGTAGTTCCAAGGAATGTTTGACCTCCTGGGAATATCCACACTCAATTCCGGTGTTTTTCTCGCCTTCCTGAAGAGTTATTGGGAATTTAATGGAATTTTTCACCTCTTTTCAGGGGACTGGGGAAGAATTTATTTAAAATGTTGAAGAAAATATTTGGAATTAAATGAATTGAAATGAAATGAAAATAAATTAAAATAACATTAATTAAAATTAAATTAATATAAAATCCCATTTTTTTGTTGACATCTGCATTGGGAATGGGAGATTACGGCTTTTAAAAATGAGATTTTGGTTGAAAACCAAACAATTGGGAAGGTTTTTTTGGAATTTAAGCTGGTGGACAGAGCAGTGGGAATTCCCATGGAGTTTGATGGCTGCTTAATTAAAATTCACTGCTAAAATGAATGAGCTCTGTGCTAATTAATGCTGTTAATGAGCTGCTAATGATGATTTGGGGGGAACTCCAGGCTTTGGGTGAGCTCTGAAAGCATCTCTGGCCCAAATAAAATGGACTTTTCCTCTGCTTCCATCTTTCCTGGGGAAAAAAAACCTCTTAGGGAAAGAATTCCTGAAAATCTGAGATGTTCTATTTGATTAAATTTATTCTTAATATAATGTAAATACAGGAATTGCTGTCCCTCTTTCCCTTTATCTGCTCTTTATTTGATATTTTTATTAAATTCCTTGGATAAAAGGTTTTATATCCATATTTTTGGGGGTTTTTTTTCCATTAAATATTTCTTTCCATGCTTTGGGAATGCTGCTGCTTTTAAGGTTTGTCAGGGAGGGCGAGAAATAAGAGGAATAAATTCCACTGATATTCTATAAAATAAGTTAAAACACAAAAATTCCAGTAAAATCAGCTGATAATTGTCATTTACCTATGAAGAGATCCTGCCAACCCCATCCTACATGAATTTTGGGACAGCATTAGCACGGATTCTCTAATTCCCAGTATTTTCTGGAGTCAGTGAAGGTAAAACTGGAATTCCAGGCAGCTGGAACACCTAAAATTGACATGCTGGACCCAATTCCAATAGACTGGAAAATGAAGTTCCCGTTATTTCCTGGACTCAGTGCAGGCACAACTGCAATTCTAGGGAGCTGTCCTAGAACTGGATCACCTAAAATGTAATCCTGGATCAAATTCCAGTAGGCTGGAATTAGGAAATTCCCAAATTCCCAGTATTTTCTGGAGTCAGTGATGGTAAAGCTGGAATTCCAGGCAGCTGGAATACCTAAAATTGAGATGCTGGACCCAATTCCAATAGGCTGGAAAACGAAATTCCTTAATTCCCACTATTTTGTGAATTCAGTGGTGCCAGGGGCCTCTCCTAGAACCTCAACACCTAAAACTGAGCTCCCGCTTCCAACTCCAGCGATCAGGAAAGTTCAATTCCCTAACTCCCGCTATTTCCACACCTCAGCCAGGCCAGTCCCACAGCGCTCCTCCCTCCATCCCTTCTTCTCCAGCCATTCCCGACGGGATTCCCCTCCCTCGAGGGCTCCTTTTACCCCTTCAAACCTCAAGCTCAGCGTTTCCTCTTCCTGCCGAAAAACCCCGGAGCGGGAGCGGGAAGGGGCGTGGAGAAAGCGGGAATTTCCCTCAGCCGTCCCCGCCCGGAGCCGCCCCTGAGGGGAACGGTGCCCTGAGGGGAACGGCTCCCTGAGGGGAACGGCGCCCTGAGGAGAATGGTGGGAACGGTGCTTCCAAGGATTCCTTGGAATTTTCCCGCTCTCTGCTGGCTCCTGGCCGTGCCCATTCCCGGTTCCCTGAGTTTGGAATGCCGGGAGCACCAATACCGCTTCCATGATAAATGCTGCAGCGACTGCCCCCCCGGTGAGTGCCCGCCGCGGGGCTGGGAGAGCCGGGCTTCAGGGGAACAGCGAATTTTTTCCTAGTGGAATATCTATTTTTTTAGTGAAATACCTATTTTTTTAGAGGAATTTCTAATTTTTCCTAGTGGAATATCTATTTTTTAGTAGAATTTCTGATTTTTCCTTAGTGAAATACCTATTTTTTAGTGGAATTTCTGGGTTCTTTTCTTAAGAAGCTATCTTTTTTAGTGACACATCTAATTTTTCCTTAGCGGAATATCTATTTTTTACTGAAATACCTATTTTAAATGGAGTATCTAATTTTTTTCTTAGTGGAATATCTTTTTTTTTCCTTAGTGTTTATTTTTTAGTGGAAAATCGATTTTTTTCCCTACTGTTTTTAGTTATAATACATATTTTTTATTAGTTAATATCTATCTTTTAGTGGAATATCTAACTTAGTGTAATGTCTGGTTTATGTTTTTAGTGTAATACCTATTTCTAGTGTAAATCTTTAGTGCAAATCTATTTTTAGTATATTTTTTCTTAGCGCAATACCTAATTAATTAAAATTAAAAGCTTAATTAAAGTGTAATATCTAATTTTTTCTGAGTGCAATACCTATGTCTACTTTTTAGACTGATAAAAATCACTTTTAGACCAGAAAAAAATGGGGAAATCCTCCTTTTTGATAGTAGTTTTTAACTTTTTTTGATCTCTTTTTGCTTCCTAAATGCCTCAGTCAGGAGAATTTCCTAAACCTTTTCCCCTCATTCTCTTGAGAAAGGATATTTGGGATCCACTGGGAGAAAGATTTGGGGCATTTCTGAATTTTTAGGGGCCGATTTGTGGGATTTGGCTGGTGAGGGAAGGCAGGACCTGTCCTAAAACCAGTCCTAGGCTGGAGGTCAGTCCTAGGTCTGTCCTAAACCTTTTCCCTCACACAGAACTAGAGGAAAAGGTGGCTTGGGAAGGGAAATCTGGGATGCAGTAAGAAAAAATTTTGGGGTATTTTCTCCATATCCAGCCGTCTCCAGTCCTTTTCAGCTGCTGCATTTTGAGTTGATTTTTCGCCTGGTCCAAACTTCCAGGGATTTTTCTCCTAAATAAAAACCAAGAACTACCAAATTCTGGGCACCATTTGTTCCCAAAGGATGAAATTCAGGATTTACCCCTCATGATCCCAGCCAATCCCGATTTGTTGCCAAAGGAAATTCAGGATTTCCCCCTCGCAATCCTACTGAATCCAAATTTTTGGGGTGTTTCTTAGGGGAAAGGGCCAATACCCATGCCAGGACACACTGATCCCAAAGGATGGAATTCAGGATTTTTCCCTTCACGTTCCCAGTGAATCCCGATTTGTTCCCAAAGGCTGAATTTCAGGATTTTTCCCCTTACAACTTCAGCCACTCCCGATTTGTTCCCAAAGGATGAAATTCAGGATTTTTCCCCTCTCGATCCCACTGAATCCAAATTTGATCTCAAAGGATGAAATTCAGGATTTTCTCATGATCCCAGCCAATCCTGATTTGTTCCCAAAGGAAATTCAGGATTTCCCCCTCACAATCCCACTGAATCCAAATTTTTGGGATGTTTCTTCGGAGAAAGGCCAACACCCATACCAGGATCCCAAAGGATGAAATTCAGGATTTTTCTCCTTATGACCCCACTGAATCCTGATTTGGTCCCAAAGAAAATTCAGGATTTTTCCCCTCATGATCCCAACCAATCCTGACCTGTTCCCGAAGGAAATTCAGGATTTTCCCCTCACGATCCCGATTTGTTCCCAAAGGAAATTCAGGATTTTCCCCTCACGATCCCGATCTGTTCCCAAAGGAAATTCAGGATTTTTCCCCTCACGATCCCAGCCGATCCCGATGCGTTCCCAAGGGAGGAAATGCGGGATTTACCGCAGTGAGTCCCGGTTTGGGTGTTCCAGGGCAGAGGATGCGGCGGCGCTGCACGGCCTGGGACGACACCGAGTGCTCGCCGTGCCAGGACGGCTACTTCAGCTCGCAGCACCACCAAGGCTTCTGCCGCAGCTGCACCGTCTGCCAGACCTGTGAGTGCCGCACCGGCGGGAAATCCTTCGGGGGCCATAAATCCCCTCGGGCGGGATAAATCCCTTCGGAGGGGATAAATCCCTTTCTTAGGGAAAAAATCCCTTCTGGGAAGATAAATCGCTTCGGGGGAGATAAATCCCTTCTGGGGGGAAATAAATCCCTTTGGGGGGAATAAATCCCTTCTTGGGGGAATAAATCCCTTCGAGGGGGGATAAATCCCTTCTGGGGAATAAATCCCTTATTGGGGGGAAATAAATCGCTTTTTAGGGGAAATAAATCCCTTCTGGGAAATAAATCTCTTCTTGGGGGAATAAATCCCTTCGGGGGGAATAAATCCCTTCTTGGAGGAGTAAATTCCTTCTTGGGGGGAAATAAATCCCTTTTTGGGGGAATAAATCCCTTTTTGGGGGGAATAAATCCCATTTTGGGGGGAATAAATCCCTTCGGGGGGATAAATTCCTTTTTGGGGGAATAAATCCCTTCTTAGGGGAATAAATCCCTTTTTGGGATGTTTTGGGTGAAAAAATCATTTTTTTGGGAAAAAAAATCCCATTTTTGAGGGAATAAAATCCCATTTCTAAGGGAAAAAAAGACCTTTCTGGAGGAAAAAATTCCTCTTTTGTGGGGAAAAATGCCTTTTTGGAGGGAAAAGATTGCTTTTGGGGGGAATCCCATTTTTTGGGGAAAAAATCCCTTTTTGGGAGAAAGAAACCCTATTTTGGTGGAAAATCCCCCATTTTTGAGGGAAAAACAAAAGCCCTATCTAGTGGGAAAAAATCCCTTTTTGATGGAAAAAAAACATTTGGGGGGAAACAAGTCCCTTTTTGGGGCATTTTGGGAGAAGAAAATCCCATTTTTGAGGGAAAAAAAGCCTTTTGGAGGGGAAGATCACTTTCTGGGGGGAGAAAATCCCTTTTTGAGGCATTTTGGGGGAAAAATCCCATTTTGGGGGGAAAATAATCCATTTTGGAGGAGAAACTACCATTTTTGAGGAAAAAATGCCTTTTATGAGACATTTCTGAGGGAAAAAATCTCATTTTGGTGAAAAAAACCTTTTTTGGGGGCATTTTGGAGGAAAAATCCCTTTTTGGAGAGGAAAATTGCTTTTTTGAGGGAAAATGTCCTCTCTTGGGCCATTTTTGTGGGAAAAATCTGTTTCGTTGGGGTATTTTTGAGGCAAAAAGTCCCTTTTTGGGCCGATTTTGTGGAAAAATCCCTTTTGGGGGAAAAAAAATCCCTTTTTTTGGAGGCAATTTGGGGGAAAATCCCTTTTTAGGGGAAAAAAAACACTTTTTGGGGGATAAAAGTCCCTTTTTGGTGCTTTTTTGGCTGCTCCCCCCTGAGTTGTGAGGGTGGAACAGGCTTTGGCCTGTCCTCAAATTAAATTATTCAGTTGGTAAATTGTTAAATTATTAATTGTAAAATGGCTGAATTCTGCAGTTTCTACATACAGAAAAACCCCATAGGAATTAATTTTTGCTGTTAATTAATGAATTCCTGCTGTTAATTACTTAATTGTTGTTGTTAATTAATTAATGGTTACTGTTAATTAATAAATTGTTGCTAATAATTAATGAATTCCTGTAGTTCATTAATGAATTCCTGCAGTTCATTACTGAATTCCTGCAGTTAAATACTGAATTTCTGCAGTTATTTAATGAATTTCTGCAGTTAATGATGAATTCCTGCTGTTAATTAATGAATTCCTGCAGTTAACTATGAATTCCTGCATTTAGTTAATGAATTTCTGCAGTTAATGATGAATTTCTGCAGCTAATGATGAGTTCCTGCAGTTAATTAATGAGCTGTTGTTAATTGCGGGTGTGTGCCGTGCCAGGGCGGGGCAGCGAGGAGGTGAAGCCGTGCGAGAGGAGCTCGGACCGGCGCTGCCAGTGCCGGGCGGGGTTCGCGCCCAGCGGGAATGCTGAGGGGAGCGGTGAGTGGGGATCGGGATCAGTGGGAATCCTGAGGGCAGCGGTAAGTGGGGAATTCTCAGGAATCCTGAGGGCAGCGGTGGGTGGGGATCAGGAATCCTCGGGAATTCCCATCTGCCAGGGCCGGGAGCCCTGAGGGCAGCGGTGAGTGGGGAATCCTTGGGAATCCTGAGGGTGGGGATCAGGAATTCCCATCTGCCAGTGCTGGACGGGGTACGCGTGCACTGGGACTTCGGAGGGGAGTAGTGAGTAGGGATGGAAACCCTCAGGAAATTGGGATAGGGAATTCCTTAGGAAGGGGTGAGTTGGGATTGGGAATTTCCATCCGCCAGTGCTGAGCGGGATTCGTGACTGCTGGGATTCCTGAGGGCAGCGGTGAGTGGGGATGGGGAAGAATTGGGATTGGGAATTCCTTGGGAAGGGGTGAGTTGGGATTGGGAATTCCCTTGGGAAGAACTGGGATCAGGAATTCCTTGGGAATTCCCTTGGGAAGAGTTTGGATCAGGAATTCCTTGGGAAGAGTTGGGACCAGGAATCCCTTGGGAAGGGGTGAGCTGGGATTGAGAATTTCTTATGAAGGGGTGAGTCCAGGATGTGCCAGCTGGAATTCCCTTTTGAATTCTGGGATGTGCCGCCTTCCCAAAATCCTGCCTCCCATATGGGAATTCCCACTGGAAAAGCTGCTCAGCCTTTGCTGAGGGCTCCACACAAGGGGGTAAAAAATCCCTGTGGAATTCCTGGCTGGAATTGTGAGATCCCTGGGTAACTGCTGGAATCCAGAATCCTGGATAATGTTAAGCTCAGACCCAGCCTTTTGATCCTGTTTTTCCCAGAGTGCTCCCGATGTCCTGAAGGGACTTTCTCCAGAGGAGGAAATGAGAACTGCCAGCCTTGGACCAAGTAGGGATCCCTTTCTGGGGAAAAATCCCTTTTATGGGGGGGAAAATCCCAATTTTGGGGGGAAAAGTCCCTTTTTTGGGGGAAAAAAAATCCTTTTTTGGGGGAAAAAAGTCCTTTTAGGGGAAAAAAGTCCCCTTTTGGGGGGAAAAGAATTCTTTTTGGGGGGAAAAGAATCCTTTTTGGGGAAAAAATCCTTTCTGGAGGAAAAAGTCCTTTTTTTGAGGAAAAAATCCCCTTTTATGTGAAAAAAAATCCCTTTTTAGGGGCAATGTGCTCAGAGCGGCTCTGGAGGTTTAATTTTTCCAGGAAAAGCCCAAATCTGGAGAAATAAATCAGAATAAACCCAGATTTAAGTTCCCCTGAATCCCATCCTTTGGGAATTTGAAAATCCCAAAAGGATTTTTAAGGATTTCCCACCCTTTTTAAAAAAACTTTTGGATATTTTTTTTGGGAGCAAAAAATTCCCGTGTCAGAATCAGCTCTGAAAATCCCAGGCTGGTTTTTCCGAGCAATTCCTTGGATTGATGGAATCATTCCCAGGGGATGTAGGGATGGGAAATGCTGAATTTGCAGGGATAAAAGAAGGTTTGGGATCGTTGTGTGGGTGGGATTTGGGAGCTGTTGGAAAGCCCTCGGGGATTCCTTTTCCAGCTGCAGCTTTTTTGGGAAGAGCACGCTCCGAGCTGGCTCGGCAACGGAGGATGCCCTGTGCAGCAGCCCTGGCCTGGATCCCATTCCCACGGGATTCCTGGAAAACAGGGATCCTGTTCCCACGGCGTTCCCAGAAAATAGGGATTCCGTTCCCACGGCATTCCCGGAGAGCAGCTCCAACACATCCGGTCCCAGGGAGATTCCCGTGGTTTGTCGGGATCCCGGCGGCCCCGCGGAGCCCGGCTGGGGTAAGGCTGGGGAGGGAATTCCTGGATTCACACCAATTCCAGGATCCCACATTTCCAGCTGGGCATGGATTTCCATCCAAGTCGTCTTTCCTGGGAAGGGAATTCCCACTTTTCCCAAAGCCATTCCTGGATTTCCCACCACATTCCAGGATCCCACATTTCCAGCTGCAGCTGCTTTCCCAGTAAGGGAATTCCCACTTTTTTCAAAGCCTTTTCTCTATTTCCCACAGCATTCCAGGATCCCACATTTCCAGCTGCTGGGTTCCCACCTGGAGCTGCTTTCCTGGGAGCTGGAAATCCCGTTTTTCCAGAATTCCTTCCTGTTGTTTACACAACCTTTCAGTGAGCTACAGAATTCCAGATTTCTGGACTCTGGGAGCTGAATTCCCACTTTCTCTGAAGCCTTTTCCACAAAAATTCCTTTCAGAATTCCACATTCCCAGATGCTTGTTTTCCATGTAAAACTGCTTTCCTGGGAGATGAAATCCCATTTTCTCTGGAGCCTTTTCCTCAAAACCTCTCGGGATTCCACATTTCCATCTGGAGCTGCTTTCCCAGGAAGGCAATTCCTGGATTCACGCCAATCCCAGGATTCCACATTTCCAGCTGCAGCTGCTTTCCTGGGAACTGAATTCCCACCTTTTCCGAAGCCATTCCTGCATTTCCCACAGCATTCCAGGATCCCGCTTTTCTGGCTACTTGGTTCCCACCTGGAGCTGCTTTCCCGGGAAGGGAATTCCCATTTTTCCCAAAGCTTTTCCTATTTCTGACCTTTCCTGGATCCCACATTTCCATCTGGGCAGGGATTTCCACCTGGATCTGCTTTCCTGGGAAGGGAATTCCCAGAAGCCAGACCTGGATTTCACAAAACTTTGGGATTTGCAATTTCCAGCTGCTCGGTGTCTATGTAAAACTGCTTTCCTGGGAAATCAAATCCCAGTTTTTCCGAAGCTGTTCCTGGATTTCCCACAGCATTCCAGAATCCCACATTTCCCTGGCAGATGGATCTCTCCATTTCCAGAGTTCTGGATTCTCCCTCTGGAATCTGCAATGCTCTGGGAGCTCCAAACAAAACCAGGAATTTTTCATTTTTTTAGAGAATTTTTCCTTTCTAATTCCAGGTTCTTTGTCCCTGTTCCTGCTGTGCCTGGTCCTGCTGATGGTGAGCGGAATTTCCATCCTGCTCCTGCTCATCCAGGCAGCCCGGAAAAAAACCAGGAATGGGCCTGGGAGGAGCATCCAGCACAGTGAGTTCCCTTTGTTTTTGTGGGATTAAAAAAAACAGGAAAAAAACGAATGCCCTGTTTGGAATGTGGTAATTAAGAAAAGAATTAATTAGGAATGCAGGGAATTCCAGAGGTTGATCCAGATTTAGTCCTGATTAAGAGCTCAGCATCCCAAATTTTCATTCCTTCATGAAAATAATCCCTGAATTCCCCGATTTTAGGCCAGGAATTCTCTTCCTGGCAGGATCCAGAGGCAAATTCCAAAAGTAAAATGGGGATTTTATCTTTGCCTCCATGGAATTGGAATGCCCTGGATCCCCCTGCAAAGTTGGGAAGGTCTGGCTGAGAAGAGCTGAGCTCTAAAACCAGGATTCAGTGGCAAAACTGAGCCTAAAACGGAGATTGAGTGATAAAACTGAGCCTAAAATTTGGATTCAGTGGCAAAACTGAGCCTAAAGCCGGGATTGAGCCACAGCTGCCTCCTGTCCCGTTCCCAGGGAATATCCCGGTGCATTCTCCCTGATCCCGGCCTGGGCATTCCCTGGAAAGCCAAAGCCGGCCCCAGAACCCCCAGGCCCTTCCCGCTTCCTCCCTTGGCGCTGATTCCCAGCACAATTCCCTGTTTTCCAGATGAGGGCAGCTGCCGGATTCCCGTCCAGGAGGAGCACCTGGATCCCAATTCCAGCCTCACCAAGAACTGATCCTGTGCCCTGCCCTTCCCGGCTTCTCAGAGCCCGGGAATTCCTGAGGAGTTAATTGGAGGACGCTTGAACCCTTCCATTAACTCAGCGTCTCCCTTTGGAATTCAGGAGAATTCCCGAGGGAATTCTGGGGGAAATTTTCCCCCCTTTTTGGGTCAATCCTTGCTCAGATCCCTGAAAATGTTCTGGGGATGAATTTCTGCTGGAATTCCCAGCTGGGAAATCATGGAAATCCCGGAGCAGGTGAAACCCGGGGTGGCTCCGGGAAGAGAAAATCCTTGGATGCTCCTGCTGAGGGGAAAATGGGAATTCTCAACCCAATCTTGGGATTTTGGGGTTGGATTTGAACCCAGCTTGTGCTGCCTAAACCTGGGCTCAGCTTGGGGCCCAGAGCTGCAGAAATCTTGGGCTGGGCACTTCAAATGCCCCAGGTTTGATGGAAAAAAGGAATTTTACTCCTTTAAAGGTTTCAAATCCTCTCATATTTCATGAAAAAAAATGAATTTTATTCATTTAAAGGTTTCAAATCCTCTCAAATTTAATGGAAAAATGAATTTTATTCCTTTAAAGGTTTAAAATCCTCTCATATTTCATGGAAAAAATGAATTTTCCTTCTTTAAAGGTTTGAAATCCACCCAAATTTTATGGAAAAAAAAGAATTTATTTTTTTTAAGGTTTAAAATCTCCTCATGTTTCATGGAAAGAAATTAATTTTATTCCTTTAAAGGCTTAAAATCCACCCAAACTTTATGGAAAAAAATTATTTTTATTCCTTTAAAGGTCTGAAATTCCCAGATTTTGGGACAATCAGGATTTGGTGGCAGCTCCTCCCACACTTCCCAAAACGACTTTTCCTTCTCTGCTTCGTTTGCCACAAATTTGGATTTTTTCGGGATTTTTCCCAACCTCTGGAAGGTTTGGGAGGAGCCTGAAGATTCCTTTGGCTGAATTTCAAAGATTTCCGTGGAAATCCAAGGAAAAATGGAATTTTTTCTCATTCGGGAGGGATTTTCCCTCAGAAACTCGGCAAAAACCGGGAATTTTACCCAAAGAGCACCGAGAATATCCCAGAAATTCCGGCTGGGAATGGGGATAGTGGAGGTGTTCAAATCCATGGATTTGGAATATTTGGGAATTGTATATGTCATACATATCTGGGGTTTATACCGTGTATAGGAACGTTTGTATCGTGTATGGGAATCTGGGAATAAAAGTCTGGAAAATCAATCCCGGTGTGTCCGGGGAAAGGTGGGAAAATTCCTGCGGGAGCCGGGGAGGGAGGGGGAGGTTTCTGGGAAAGGCTGGAATGGGGTTTTGGGAAGTTGGGATGGGAAAGATTGGGATGAATTTTAGGGAAAGGCTGGGATGGGTTTTAGGGAAAGGCTGGGATGGGTTTAGGGAAAGGTTGAAATGGATTTTTGGGAGAGGTTGAAATGGATTTTTGGAAAGGCTGGGAAGGAGTTTTCAGAAAGGTTGGGATGGAATTTTGGGACAGAGGGAAGTTGGGATGGGTTTTAGGGAAAGGCTGGAATGGATTTTAAGGAAAGGTTGGGATGGATTTTAAGGAAGGGCTGGGATGGGGTTTTGGGGAAGAGGGAGGATGGGATGAATTTTAGGGAAAGGTTCTTCCCAAAGAAGGAAAGGTCTTTCCAGAAGGTGGCTGGGATGGATTTTTGGGAAAGAGGGAAGTTGGGATGAGTTTTTGGGAAAGGCTGGGATGGATTTTCAGGAAAGGCTGGGATGGGTTTTTGGGAAAGGCTGGGACGGGTTTTCGGGAAAGGTTCTTCCCCCAAGGGAAGTTGGGATGGATCCACATTTCCAGGTTTCCCAGGAATGATCTGAACTTTGTCATTTTTAAAATCCACCTGGAAAAATGAGCAGTGAGCCTGTTCTGCAGGGAGCAAAGGGCCCTCCGGAGAGGAAAATTCCATGGGGTGGGAAGGAAAACTCCACAATCTGGGAACGGAAATTCCAGAGTATGGGAATGGAAATTCCAGGGTATGGGAATGAGAATTCCTCAGTGTGGGAATAAAAATTCAACAATGTGGAAAAGGAAATCCCACAGCATGGGTGATAAAAATTCCACAATCTGGGAATGGAAATTCCAGGGTGTGCAAATGGAAATTCCATGGTGCAGGGATAAAAATTCTGGAGTGTGGGAATGGAAACTCCGCAGTGTGAGGATAAAAAACCCAGGGTGTGGGAATGGAAATTCCAGAGTGGAAATGGAAATTCCAGAGTGTGGGGTGAAAATCCTCCCAGAGCTGGGCTTTGCTGGGGCTCTAAGCCGGGCCTTGCTGGGGCTCTAAGCCGGGCCTTGCTGGGGCTCTAAGCTGGGCCTGGTTGGGGCTGTGAACCGGGCCTGGCTGGGGCTCTAAGCCAGGCCTAATCACTGCCATGCTGGCAGCGATGCTTGCGGGGCAGGAGCAGCCGGGGCTCCCCGTTGCGGCCCATCAGAGCCCGGAGACGGCGGAAGCGCTGTGGGGAGCGCTCGGAGCGCCCGGCCGGGGCAGGGGAGGTGAGGAAGGTTCCAGAAGCGCTGACGCTTCTCGAGGTGATTTCCTTTGGGGTTTTGGGGTGGTTTCCTTGTTTTTTTTGGGAGTGGTTTCCTTCAGTTTTCTCTGAAATTCCGTCGTTTGCCGGGTGGAAAGGAAGTGGGGGAATGTGGGCAGCGGAGGGGAGGGAATTCCCAGGAATTCTTCAGGTTGGAAAAGCTCTGCAGGATCAGGGTCCAACCTGGGAATGATCCTCACCCCGAGTGCCACATCCTGGAATTCCCTGGAAACTTCCAGGATGGGAATTCCCCCCTTTTCCAAGGTTTGATCCCTTTTTCCACAAGGAAATCCCACCTGGAGCTCCCCTGGCACCATCTGAGGCCATTTCTCCTCATCCTGTCCCAGAGCCCAACTCCTCTCTGTCTCCAAGCCCCAAATTCCTCAAATATTCCTTGGAATGTGCCTCTGGATGAGGATATTCCCATTGGTTTTCATGGACAAGGCTCCAAGAATCCAAGGAGTGTTCCCCAAATCCCACCCTTGCGGGTTTTGGTACCCCAGGGTGTAGGAAAGGGACGAAATCCATGATGTTTTTCCCTCTTTTCCATCCCAATTTTGAATTTATGCTTGGAATTTGCCCTGAGAGATGAATTTTTCCTAGGGGAAATCAGGGATGTGATCAGTGCGGATTTTGGGAAGGATCCCGGAATTTTGGTGGATTTGGGGTGAGGATTTCACTCCAGATTTCTGGGACTGTCCCATTTCTTGTGATTTTCCTCAGGGAGCCACCACTTTTGGAAGGAAAAAAGGGGAATTTTTCACAGGGGAAGGCTGGGTGGGTTTTCCTGGGAGGATCCTGGTGTTTTGATGGATTTAACTCCAGGTTCCTGGGGGAATGACAGATTTATTTTTTTTTAGGATTTTCCTCATGGAGTCACCAAATTCAGAAACAAAAAAGGGGAATTTTTCATAGGGGAAGGCAGGGCTGTGATCAGTGGGGTTTTTGGGAAGGATCCCGGGGTTTTGGTGGATTTGGGGTTTCTGGGAATGTCCAATTTCTTGGGATTTTCCTTGTGGAGTTGCCACTTTTGGATCCCAAAGAGGGGAATTTTCCCACGGAGTGCATTGAGTGTTTTTTTTTGAATGATCCCAGAATTTTGATGGATTTGGGATGAGGACTTCAGGTTTTTGGGACTGTCCAATTTCTTGGGATTTTCCTCACGGAGTCACCACTTTTGGATCCCAAAGAGGGGAATCCTCCCATGGACTGCATTGACTTTTCATGAAGGATCCTGGAATTCTGATGGATTTAACTGCAGATTCCTGGGGGAATATCCGATTTTTTAGGATTTTCCTCATGGAGTAGCCACTTTGGGAGCCCAAAGATGGGGAATCTTTCCGTGGGGAGGAGTTTTTTTGGGGCGGGAAGTGAGCTGTGCCTTTGGGGCCACGGCGCTGAAACGTCAGCGGCCGCAGCCGGAGCTGCTGAGAAAGCCCCAAGATGAGAACAGGAGATAAACGCGATGGATCCGATAAATCCGAAAGGTCGCTGCTGACTCCGGAGCTCCGGAACGGTTCTGGTCGGAGAGTGATGGAAACTTCCGTCACCTGATGGGGCCCCGGCGCCTCGAAGGGTAAAACCACGCAAAGAGCAAAGAGAAAAATCCCCAAAGGCAAAAAAAAGAGAAATCAAGAAAATCCTGATATGGGGCAAACGGCAGTGCCAGGGGATGGGATCCGTGGGATGGGATGGGATCCATGGGATGGGATGGGGTTAGCGAAAGTGGGATGGGGATGGGGAAGGTTTGGATGGGGTGGGGAAAGGTAGGGATGGGTTTTAGGGAATGGTTGGGATGGGGTTAGGGAAAGGTTCTCAGGAGGAGGTTGGGATGGGTTTTCAGGATGGATGGATGGATGGATCCATGGATGGGGGATGGATGGGTGATGGGTGATGGATGGATGGGTGATGGATGGATGGGTGATGGATGATGGATGGGTGATGGATGATGGATGGATGGGTGATGGATGATGGATGGATGGATGGATCCATGGATGGGGGATGGATGGATGGATGATGGATGGATGATGGATGGATGGATGATGGATGGATGGGTGATGGATGGATGGGTGACGGATGATGGATGGGTGATGGATGATGGATGGGTGATGGATGATGGATGGATGGATGGATGCTGGATCCATGGATCCGTGGAGGAAGGGATGGGCTCAGCGTACATTGCATCCTGGTGGTTAAAACCTTGAGGGGTTTATAAATTCATTTGGGAATTCCTAAATTCCTATTTCTAAAGCCATTAGGAGCAGAAGCGCGTTGGGAGAGCGCTGGGAGAGTTGGGAATGTTCAGCCTGGAGAAGCTTTGGAGTGATGGAAATGGGCCTGAAGGAGCTGTCAGAAGGATGGAGAGGGAACATTCCCAAGGGCTGGAGTGCCAGGACACAGGGACTGCCCTCACTGGCAGAGAAGGGGTTCAGATGGGATATTGGGAAGGAATTCTTGGATGTGAGGGTGGGGAGGGGCTGGGATGGAATTCCCAGGGGATTTATGGCTGCTCCATCCCTGGAGTGCCCCCCTTTAACCCTTCCCAAATCCCATTTGTTCGGGGCCAGCCCTTTCCCCGCCCCAGCTCCAGCTGAGCCCAGAGCTTCTCCCCGCCCCCAGAAAAGCAGGAAGAGCTGGGCCACAAAAACCCCGGTGCCTCCTCGGCGGAGGGGACAGCGTGGGGACAGCGAGGCGGTGGCACTGCCAGGCTGGAGTGGCACCACCAGGACACGGCGGTGACACTGCCAGGACACAGCGGTGACACTGCTGGGACAGTACAGTGGCACTGCCGGGACACAGCGGTGACACTGCTGGGACAGTACAGTGGCACTGCCGGGACACAGCGGTGACACTGCCGGGACACAGCGGTGACACTGCCAGGACACAGCGGTGACACTGCCAGGATACAGCAGTGACACTGCCGGGACACAGCGGTGACACTGCCGGGACAGTACAGTGGCACTGCCAGGACACAGCGGTGACACTGCCGGGACACAGCGGTGACACTGCCGGGACACAGCGGTGACACTGCCAGGACACAGTGCTGACACTGCCAGGACAGTACAGTGGCACTGCCAGGACACGGTGACATTTCCAGGACACGTTGACATTTCCAGACCCCAGCGGTGACACTGCCAGGCCCCAGCGGTGACATTTCCAGGACACGTTGACATTTCCAGGCCTCAGCGGTGAGATTCCCAGGACACGGTGACATTCCCAGGACATGGTGACATTCCCAGGACACAGCAGTGACAGTGCCAGGCCCCAGCGGTGGCCGCTGGCCATGGGCTGTGGGTGGCTGTGGCTGCTGCTGGCGCTGCTGGCCGGGCTCTGGGTGCAGCCGGGCCAGGCCGGGCACTGCCAGGACGGGCGGCTGAGGCTGGGCTGGGGCGGCGGCACCAAGTGCTGCCCCAACTGCAGCTGGGAGGCAGGTGAGCCTGGAAACGGGGGAAAGGGGGTGCAAAGTGTGTGTTATTGGGAGTAAACGTATGTAATTGTGTGTAAAATGTGTAAAGTGTGTGTAAAGTGTGTGTAATTTGGGGTAAAGTGTGTGTAAAGTTTGTGTAATTGTGTGTAAAATGTGTATTATTGGGGGTAATTGTGTGTTATTGGGGGTAAATGGGGTAAATGTAGAACATGTAAAGGGTGTGTAATTGTGTGTAACTGTGTGGAAAGTGTGTGTAAAGTGTGTGTAATTGGGGGTAGTTGTGTGTTATTTGGGGTAAATGTGTGTAAAGTGTGTGTAAATGGGGGTAAATGTGTGTAAATGGGGGTAAATGTGTAATTTGGAGTAATGGGGGGGTAAATGTGTGTAAAGTATGTGTAAATGTGGGTAATTGTGTGTAATTAGGGGTAATTGTGTGTAAATGGGGGTAAATTTGTGTGTAAATGTTTGTAATTGTGTGTAAAGTGTGTATAAAATGTGTGTAAATAGGGTAAATGTGTGTAAAGTGTGTGTAAACTGTGTCTAGTGTGTATAACTGTGGGTAACAGTTCTGGGTAGGGGCTCTCTCTTTCCCCAGGATGGAAAGGAGGATTTTTGGGATCCCATTTTCCCTGGAGAAGTCTCTTTCCCCGGGATGGGAGGGAGGATTTTTGGGATCCCATTTTCCCTGGAGAAGTCTCTTTCCCTGGGATGGGAGGGAGGATTTTTGGGATCCCTTTGCTCCAGAACCCCCTCTGTGTCAGCTCCTCACCTACCCACAGCAGGGTGGAAGCAGCACCTCCCGGCTCTCCCTTTTTCCCAGCTTTTTCCCCATGCGGATGGGAATTGCGGCCTTTAACCCTTTCCTTCCCGCAGGAAACCCCGAGCCCTGCGAGGCAGCGCGGGACCCTGACTGCAAATGTCCCCAAGGCTACAGCTGTGCCGACAAGGCCTGCCAGTTCTGCCAGGAGCTGCCGCGGTGTGAGCCGGGATGGGAGCCCAGCAGGATCGGTAACCTGGGAATGGGAATGGCATCGGGAATGGGATCAGGAATGGGAATGGGTCAGGCCCTGCCAGTTCTGCCGGGAGCTGCCACGGTGTGAGCTGGGATGGGAGCCCAGCAGGATTGGTAACCTGGGAATGGCATCAGGAATGGGAATGGGGTCGGGAATGGGAATGGGGATGGGAATGGGAATGGGGATGGGGCAGGGGAAGGGGATGGGACAGGCCCCGCCAGTTCTGCCAGGAGCTGCAGCGCTGCCGGCCAGGATGGGAGCCCATCAGGATCGGTAACCTGGGAATGGGATCGGGAATGGGAATGGGGGAGGGGATGGGAATGGGACAGGCCCTGCCAGTTCTGCCGGGAGCTGCCGCGGTGTGAGCCAGGATGGGAGCCCAGCAGGATCAGTAACCCGGGAATGGGACTAGCAATGGGACTGGGAATGGGATTGGGAATGGGACTGGGCCAGGCCCTAGCTGTCCCTGTGCGGGCTGTCCCAGAATTTGGGATCCTGCTCATTCCCATCCCTTTTCCCTGCAGGAACAGTGAATTTCCAGTTCGGGTGTGAGCCCTGCCGGAACGGGAGCTATTCCAGCAGCAGGAACAGCTGGTGCCGCAACTGGACTGAGTAGGGATCAATAACCATCAATAACCAATAACAACCATCAATAACCAATAACAACCATCAATAACCAATAAAAACCATCAATAACCATCAATAACTAATAATAGCCATCAATAGCCATCAATAACTAATAATAGCCATCAATAACCGATAATGGCCATCAATAGCCATCAATAGCCATCAATAACCAATAATAGCCATCAATAGCCATCAGTAGCCATCAGTAGCCATCAATAGCCATCAATAGCCATCAGTAGCCATCAATAACCAATAATAGCCATCAATAGCCATCAATAACCATCAACAACCAATAATAACCATCAATAACCATCAATAACTAATAATAGCCATCAGTAGCCATCAATAGCCATCAATAACCAATAATAGCCATCAATAGCCATCAATAACCAATAATAACCAATAACGAATCATGAATAACAAGTAACTGTTCATAATGCTTGTTAAAATAGAAATTTATATAAATATTATATTAAATATTATAAATTTAACAATATCATTATTAACTATTATGTCCAGATTTGATTTTATAGTATTATTATAATTACATAAATACATATAATACATATAATTTTATAGTATTATTATAATTACATATAATAATTATAATATAATTATCATAATTAATAATTAATAATATATTAGATATTATGTTAAGTATTATATACTTATAAAAATATATATTTATATATAACTATATAACTATATAACTATATAAATTTTATATATATAAATAAATATATGAATATATAAATTTATACATAAATATATAAATAGAAAAAATAGAATAATAAGGATAAGAATAAGAATGGAGTGAGTAGGGGTTTATTGATATTTGCCTTATTTGAAAATAATAGTAATAATTAATAATAAATTATTAATAATAATAATCGGATTTTTTTATTTCCTCCTTTGAAATTAGGAATAAAAATAAGAAGAACATGATATTAATAGTAATAATAATTATTAATAATAATAACAATAATATAATACAAATTACTATTTAAAGATCAATGAAGATATTCAGTACTGACATTAAAAAATCCAATTGAATCCCCGAAAATCTTCCTGAGATTAATTTTGATGAATTTTTTAATTAAGCAAGATCTGGCATTTCTCATCTTAGTCTCAAGGCAGAGCTTAAGCCCAACTCCCAGCCTAAACTCACTGAAAGTCAAGCTTAAGATCCTGGAGAAATTATTCCAGACTGGGAAATCCATGGGGAAAAAAGATGGGCACAAACCCAGGTTGGGGAAAGAGCCCAAACTTCCACTGTGCTGCTGCAAGAGGGGGCAAAACCTTGGGAAGAGCTGGTGGGGGGAAGAGAGGGCCAAAGGAAAAGCGGGAATATCCTAAATCCTGAATTCCCATTGTTTTTCCAGCTGTGAGAGCAGCGGGTTCATCATGCTCCGGGCAGGGAACAGCACCCACAACTCCGTGTGCAGCTTACCCGTCAAAGCCCTGGAGCCAGGTGCCAAGAATTCCCAGGGAAAATTCCCTTTCCCTGCTTTCCCACAGCTTCCCAGCCTGGAAATCCTCTTGGAAAACTGCTGCTGTTCCGTAAAAAATGGATATTAATATAGATATTAATTGAGATGGCATTAATTAATTGTTGGCCTGGCAAAGATTCCATACTCAAAGTGCTGTCCATGAAAAAACGTGGAGACAATCCCTGGCCAGGGCATGTTTGGGTGGGAATTCATCAATTCCCACTGAGCTGCTCTGGCTCTTTTCCTGCTTTTCTTAGGAAAAATGTCCTTGGGTCCCTCCCAATGGTGGCTGAGCCCCCAGCGGCATTCCAGGGTTTTTCCTGGATCAGAGGATGGGAATGGCTGGGGATAGGCTTTGCCAACTTCTCCTGGGAATTGGTGTCTCCCAGGTCTTTCCTTTTCCCTTTCCTTTTCCTTTTTCCCTTTTCTGTTTCATCTTCCTCTTCCCTTTCCCTTCCTTTCCCATTTCCTCTTCCCTCTCCCTCTTCCCTCTTTTTTCCTTTTCTGCTTTCCCTTCCATCTTCCCTTTCCTCTTCTTCATCCCATTTCCTCTTTCCTTTTCCTTTTCCTCCTTTTCCTCCTTCTCCTCCTTTTTTCCCTTTCCCTTTTCCCCCTTCCTTTCCCCCTATTCCCATCCCACAATTCCCTTTCCCCTATTCCCACCCCATCCCACAATTCCCTTTCCCCCTCACCTCGAAGCTTCCCCCCCTTCCCCCTTTCCCACAGAGCCCTTAAATCAATCCCTAAATGTCCTTGGAAAACCTCCCTCCCCTTGAACACAACCCAGTCCCAGAATTCCTGAATTTTTAATGGAATCCCATTGACTGCAGCTCGGATTCCCCTGGAATTCTCCTCCAGCTCTGTCCTGGCCGTCCTGGCGGCCGCGGCCGTGTTCGTGCTGGTCCTGCTCACGCTCCTGCTGCACTTCTGCATCTGGAGCCTCCGCCGGGACAAAACATTCCCACCCGGAGGTGAGGGATCTCCGGAGCGCCCGCACGGGATCAAAGGATGGAATTAGATGGATAAATCCGGGTTTCCTCTGGGATTTGGAGCAGATTCCCAGAATTGCCGGTGATCCAGGACAACATTCCTGACCCAGGGCAGGGTGGATGGGATTTTGGGATGGAATTCCTGCCCGCGAGGGTGGGAAGGCCCTGGCACAGGTTGGCCCCTGGATCCCTGGAATTGTCCTTGGAGCGCCCTGGGATAGTGGGAAATGTCCCTGCCCATGGATGGGATGGAACAGGATCATCCCAAATCCCTTCCAACCCATTCCATTCCAGAATTCCCTGATCCCACAAAATTCCCAGCTGGAGGTGGGGGAATCTCTGGGAGTTCCAGCAGGGATAAAGGGAGTAGAATTAGAGGGATAAATCTGGATTTCCTCTGGGATTTGGGGCAGAGACCTGGAATCACCGATCATCCAGGCCAATGCTCCAAACAAAAGGGAGGGTTTGATGGAATTTTGGGATGGAATTCCTGGCTGGGACAGTGGGAAGGCCCTGGAATGGCTTCCCCAGAGAAGCTCCGGCCGCCTCTGGATCCCTGGAATTGTCCTTGGGATAGCGGGAAATGTCCCCGCCCACAGATGGGATCATCCCAAAATCCCTTCCAACCCATCCCATTCCATAATTCCCTGATCCCACAACCCGGCAAAGGGGCTGGGCAGCCTGACGAGAGTTTCTGGAATTCCTGGACGAGCTTTTTCCTTGTTCCCACCGCAGATCCGGGACACAACTTCCCACGGGCGCCGCCGCAGCTCCCGCTCCAAGGGGAGGAATCCCACAGCATCCAATTCCCAGAGGAGGAGCGTGGGGACAAAACGGCTGAGGAAAAACTTTCCATCCTCTCCCTGAAAATCTACAGCGAGCTCAGCTAACGGATCCCTCCCAGGATCACCGGGAATGCGGGGCTGAGCTGGGCTTCCCAAAAAACCAAAAAAACGCGGGAATGGGATGGGGTGTGAGACATCACTTCTCTGTAGGAAAAGGAGTGGATTTAGGGCAAGTTTGGGTTTGTTTTTCCCCAAAAAATGGGAATTTAGGGATAAAATCCCGCTGATTCAGGCTGGTGTTGATTCAGGAAGAGATCAGTGGGATTTCCTGGAATATCCCGATTTCCAGGATCGGGAATAGCGGCCATGTCTCCTGGTTTTCCCTCAGCTTTCCCAATTGTTCATTCCCAACCTCATTCCAGCCTCTCCTAATCTCATTCCTGCTCCCACCCAAAGATTCCCTCGGGAAGCTCCTGCTGTGCTGCCAGGGATTTTCCTGTGCAGGTTCTTCCAAGGAAAGTTGGGAAAAGGGGGAGTGAAGCTCATGTAGGGAATGGTCAGAGCTCCAAAAAAATGGAGGGAATGGGAAAAAATTCTGGAAAACGCTCTCAAGTGGGATTTTAGGATTTCTGATCCCTGTGAGACCCTTCCCACTTAGGATATTCCATGATTTTATGATGAATTCCAGCAGGTTTTGGAAGTTTTTGAGATGCCAACATCTGTATCGGTAATTGTGGATCATTAGGGATCATTAGGGTTAATTAGGGATAATTCAGGATGAGTTTCTCATCTCTTTGGTGGTTATTCAATGGAAATCCATGGAAATTCCTGGGATTTCAGAGGGTTTCAATCCGTGCACATGGATTTAAAGCTCTCTTGGATGATCCTTGGATTTTGGATCAACTCCAGAGAGCCCGGCTGGGAAATCTGGGAATGTTCCCCTGGAGCAGGATTGGGATAAGGGATGGAGGGACAGGACAATGGGAACGGCTTCCCACTGGAAAAGGGTGAGGTTGGATCAGAAATCCGGGAAAAATCGCTCCCTGGGAGATTCCAGAGGTTCCCAGGGAGTTCCAGCAGGTGCTGCTGTTTCCCTGGATTTGGGGTTGGGATCACAGCTGGGAATTCCTGCAGGCCCCAAAATCTGGGCTGGGAAGTTTCAGATTCCCTGGGAAAATCTGGGGAATTCCAAAGAAAAACTCGGGAAATTCCAAAGGGAAAGTCCTTTTAGTAAAGTTTTTTTTTGCTTCTGGGATTTGGATTTTCTTTGGCTTTCACCTCCAGCATCATTCCCAAATTATCCCAAGGAAGCTGAGCCTTCTCCCCTTTGGATTTTTATCTCAATCCTGGAGAGGATGGAGCCACCCTGGCAAACCTGGCCAAGGAAAAAATCCCATTTTTGGGGCTGGAATTCAAATTCCTCCCTCCAGGAGAAGAGGATCTGGATACGGGAATGGGAACAAGATCCCAACAAAAGCCCCAGAATTCCATCCAAACCCCAGCTTTGTTTTCCCCTTTTCCCAACCCTTTGGAAGCCGAGCAGCAGCAGAGGGAGCTCCTGGAAAAGCGAATTCCAGAGGGAACAGCCAGAGAGGGGAGGGAATTCAAGGCTGACCAATATTTCCTGGATAAATCCCTGGATTTGTGCTGGACTTTTCCCACATTTCCTGGCTTTTCCCACATTTCCTGCCTGTCCCCCACCTGCTCCACTCTGCTCTGGAGACGAGGAATAAAGGAGAGGGATTTGGGAATCCTCTGGGTCAGGAATTAATGATTTGGATGCTTTAAAATTCAGTTTTGTCCTTAAAAATTCTGCTTCCTCCAAACTGGGGGGGTAGGGGAAAGGAAAAAGTGGGGAAAAGGGAAGGTGCGGGAAGGTGCGGGAAGGTGCGGGAAGGTGCGGGAAGGTGCGGGAAGGGAAGGGAAGGGAAGGGAAGGGAAGGGAAGGGAAGGGAAGGGAAAAGGGGGGGGAAGGGGGGGAAGGGAAAAAGGGGAAGAAAAAATGGGGGAAGGAAAAGGAAAACGGAAAGAGGAAAAGGAAAAAGGAAAAGGATCCTTCATCCCCCTCTTCATTCCAAAGCCGTTCAGGTCCTGCAGGGTTTTCCAGGACTCCAGAATGTTGGGATTGGGTGAAGAATTCCCAATTCCCGGGGTTAGGGGGCTCTTTCCAAAGCCCTTCCTCGGGGCCCATGGGCAGGGTTTGTCCCATGCCCCTCTCCTAGCTCAGAGAATTCCCAGAGTTTTCCGGAGCTTTTCCGTCCTGGTCGTGGTCGATGGGATCTTCCATGAGCAGAATTCCAAGAGTTCCAATCCCACTGGGATTTTTCCAGGCCCCAGCCCAGAGCTCGGGAGGGAATTTGATCCCTGTGGAGCCTCGGTTAAAAATGGCACAAGGCCACTTTTATTGTTATTGCATTAGAATATTATTATTTTTTTTATGTATAAAAAATATTTATATACATTACGGTTACTATTATTATTATTAAATATTATTTAATTTATTATATTACTATATATTCTTAAATTATAATTGAATTTATTATAATTTATTATTTTATATACTATATATTAGATATATTTTTCCATTTTTAATATTTTTTTATATACTTTATATAGTTATTTATATAAGATATATTTATTTATATTAGATATCTTTTATATATTTGTATATAAAATGTATCCTTGTTTATATTAGATATATTATATATAATCTATATATAGATATAATCTCTATATACATAGATTATTTACATTTTTATATATAGATTATATATAATATATTTATTTATATTATATGTGTATTTATATTATATATATTTTATAATTTATATTTTATACTTTTATTTGTATTAGATATATTTATTTAGATTATATATTTTATATATCTATATATAGAATTTATACTTATTTATATTAGATATATATTTATTTATATTATATATGTTATATGTAATCAATAAATAGATATAATATATATAGAGAGTATTTATATATAGATTACATCTATTTTATATATTTATTTATAAATTTTTATATATTTATATATTTTATATATAAAATATATACTTGATTATATTATATATAGATATAATATAGATATAATATATCTATTATTATATATTAGTATGTTTTTTATTTACTAATTAAGCATAAATAATAAGTAAATAATTTATAGCAAATAACTATTTTATTATTTTATATTTTATTATTTATTGTTTTTTATTTTAAATCTGTTTTATCCCTTGGGAGCCCGGGGGACACTGAGGGGACCCTTGGGACAAGAGGGGACATTGAGGGGACATTTTGGGACCCCAGGGGACAATGAGGGGACACTGAGGGGACACTGGGACCCCAGGGGACATCAAAGGGACATTTTGAGACCTCAGGGGACACTTTGGGGACCCTTTGGGACCCCAGAGGACAATGAGGGGGCACTGAGGGGACACCTTGGGACCCCAGGGGACACGTTGGGACCCTTTGTGACCCCTGGGGCCACTGGAGAGGCTGAGGGGACCCCCTGTGACAGGAGGGGACACTGAGGGGACCCTGTGTGACCCCAGGGGACACTGGACAGGCTGAGGGGACCCTTTGGGACCCCAGGGGACGTTGGGGACATCCCGGGGGGCCCCGGTCCAGCGGGAATCCGGAGGCGCTGCAGGGATTTTTCTGGCCCTGCCGGAATTCTTGCCCCAAACGCCTCAAATTAATGTCAAAATTCCTCAGTTCTGAGAAAATCAAGGATTTGGGGGCTTTTCCTCCTCATTTTTGCCACAAAAAAAGTGCCTCAAATCCCCCAGATGAATTCCAGCTGTGAAACTCCAGGAATTCTTCTGCTAAAGGGAATTTTTCCCGGGATTTGTGTCCCACTAAAAACGCCTTTAATTTCTAAAATGAATATAAAACTCCATTAATTCTCCTGATAAAAATCAAGGATTTGGGTTTTTTCTTCAATAAAAAAGTGCCCAAAACCCTTCCAGTGAGTTCCAGCTGTGAAACTCCAGGAATTCTTCCTCTAAAGGGAATTTTTCCCGGGATTTGTGGCTGCGGAGGTCGCGCCCGTGCGATTGACGGCATTACCAGACAGTATTAGACAGAAATATCCAGATCTAACTTTGCCTGGTAAGACAGCAATCAGCAGGCTCCAGGAAATCCCTTTTTTTTCCACATCCAGCATTGGAAAATGATTCCAAGGAAAAGGCTCTCCCGAGCCCCAGCAATTCCCAGGAAATCTTGAACTCGTCCTGCTTGATTTGAGGCAGGGAAATGATGAAAATTCTGATTTTTCTGCTTGGCTGGGGAATGAATTGGAAATGGTTTAAGGACTTACCAGGTGTGGAATCCCTCTGGAGCAGCTCCCGGGAAATTCGGGATGCCCCTCATCCACAAATTCCCATTGCTGAGGGAAAATTTTTAGGATTCGGCCCCAAAAAGCTCCTAAAGCACCCAAAATCCAGGGCTGGTGGTGAAGTGGATTTAAGGAAGAAGGAAATCAGTAGGAAAAGTGAGGGCAGTGAAAGAAAAAGGAATTTTCCTGGGTTTTTCCTGGCTCTGGGATGGTTTTTCCCACAGCTCCACCACCAGGAGAGCTGGATTTTCCCATTGGAATGATCTCCTTTTTTTATCGGGATTGATTTCCCCAATTCCACCCCAATTCCGGGCTCAAGGAGGGGATGGATGGGAGCGGGAGCGGCCCCGATCCCAGGGATTTACGGCCTCGTTAAAATCCCATTTCCAGGATTCCTCCCTCATTTCCTCCTGGCCTCCCGGAGCAGTTACTCATTAATGCCGTGCTTTAATTAATCACCCCTCTGCTTCCTCCTCCGCTGCTTTTCCTGGGAATTTCAACCTCCAAGGGCAAACCGAGCTCGTTCCAGGGGGTCCAGTTTGGATTTAGGGTAGCTCCTCCCAAGCTATCCACGTTGAAATGGGAATAATTTGAATTATGAAACAATTAATTTAATTTTTCCCTGATTTTCCTGTGTTATCCACGAATTTTGGCAAGGAATCTTAGGCCTGGCTTAGTGCAAAGCAGGAAAAAAGGGATTTCAAGTTTTCTAGGGATGAAGGAAGAGAATTCCAGACTTTGGGTTGGAGGGAATTTTAAAATCATTTCATTCCAAGCATTTTTGTGTCGCTAGACCAGGTTTAATTTGGAATTTGGAGTGAGGGAAGGGATTAACTCCAGGAAAAACCTCGTGGGACTGGGATTGAATCCCAAATGAAATCCTTGGAATCCCACAGAAAGCTGAGGAATGTGTGGAACTGCCTTGGCTGGCCCAGAAAGGAGCTGAAATCTGGGATTGGGAGAAATTCCAGGATGGGAAGGGGAATCGGGAGGAATTTCCCGGAAGTGCCCATGGAATTGCTGGATGTGGAACTCAGGGACAAGGTGGGGATGGGGCATTCCTTGGATTTCAATTCCGGCCGAAATGATCCCAGAATTCTGGGATTCCTTGGGTGAGGATGGACTTTAACTCAGGAATTCTCATTCCCAAGGGATAAATGGAGGTGGAAATCTGGAATTTGGGGGATTCTGACCCTCAGAGCCCAAGTTAGGCCTGGCTTTACCTGCGGGACCCTACACCCTGCCTGAGGAGCCAAATCCTTCCTGCAGCTCCAGCAGAAATTTGGGATTTTTCCCTAAAGCCGGGTTTAAATTTGCTGGAATTGCTGTGGGATGAGGTGTCCTCTGCTACCTCAGCAACAGATTCAACGGGAATTTTATTCCATTGGAGAGAAGAGGAATTTCCTTTTGGAATTCCAGCTTCCAACATGAATTTTATCCATTCTCCACAAGCTCCTGCTCACTTGGGATGAATTCCTGGAGCTCTGAATGCTCCTCCAGCTGCCTGGAGCTTTTGGGAGCGGTTTCCTGGCTGGAATTCCTGGTTTTCCTGTGGAATTCCTCAGGGTAGTGAATCCCACCTGGAACAAGGCAGGGTGGAAAAGTTGGAAGTTCAGGAGCATCTCAACCGCGGGGCTTTCATTG